GAAAAGAAAAGCACAGACCATTGCAAGGGATACCCAGAGGGAAGCAAGGAGGGTTCGTAGAACTATATATAGATATATGTGCGTGTGTATTTTACACCCCTGTCTCAGTCACGCCTCTTTCTTGGGGGGTGGCTAAAAGTCATTCAGTGCGTATCGCACGCGAGTTGTGAACTGCCTGGAGTTCTCCGTAGAAAAGGACCAGCGCGGGTCCTCCTTCCGCAGCCACGCAATCACGTAGGCAACCTGCAGATCATTTGGAAGATCAAACTCTACATCTGCGCGGTGCTGACGAATTTCTCCCGTGTGAACGGGGCGGCCGGCGACGCTCAGACCCACGTCGTTGGCGGCGCGAAGAGAGTTCCGCACGTCCATCAAGACATCGCCAGTTGCAGGGCTCTTTTGAACGGTGTAGTAGCGCATCCCGTGCGACTCCAGCACCAGCCACTCATGCTTCTGTCGAAAGAAACGGGCGAAGGGGTTGGACTCGCAAGTGGTGTAGAACGTGGAGACGTGTCTCAACACATCCTTCGCCTGCAGAAGAACATCACGGTGGATGACGACGCCTCCCTCCCTGGCACAGCAGTCGCTGACAAAATCCACGCAAAGGCCACATCCGGCCGCGGCGGCGCAGATGCCTAAGTGGTCCGCTAGGGAAATCCGGGCGGGCAGTGCGCTCAGCGAAAGTCCCACACCGAGCGTGGCTCCACACGTCAGGCCCTGCCCCATCACACACGCAGTTCCCCCTCCTCAGTGACTGCGGTCACGGCGCGCATTGCGGAAGCAAGAACCCTCAGCAAAGCAATGGCAAAAAAAAATGTAGACTGCTCAAGGCGTCATTCAGAAACATAAAACCCCAAGCAAGACGACCGATAAGAGCATATGAAACGATAAAAATGGAGTGGGGGAGGGGGTAAAAATAAAAGGTAAAGCAACAAAGGGTCCGGACAACAAAAATGCCACAGTTCCACAAGAAGAAACGGATCGATAACAACCCCTTTCAATTCTTGAGAGAACAGCAACGTAAAGCAAGTATCTATAACATGTACAGGGAAAATGCATGGATAATCGAGAGAGATCAAATGAGCCCGCCTGGGCCTCTTCTATACTCCTGCGACTCCCCGGACAGGCCGTGTTCACTGGCGCTCGATGCCTGGCGTGGGTCACTCGCCTGCGCCAGAAAGCTTAGACCCTTGCCAGGGCCCTGTGGGGTTTCCCGCAACATCAGCGGCGGCGGTGGCGAGGGCGCCGGCTGTGCCAGTGCCTCGTCAAGGGTAACGCGCGCGCGCACAGCACCGTCTCCCCACTGTCGCTCAACGAAGCTTGTGGCAAACCAGACACCCGTCAGCCAGGTGACGATGAATGGCAGCAGGAAGAAGCAGAGCTGAACAATGAAGCAGAACCCCTGAAACCCGTCCCGCCACCCGTGCCGTGTCAAGGCGGTCGACTCGAGCACAAACAGGGGAAGGTCCTTAGAAAAGAATAGGGCGCTGACACCAGTAATAATGTACTGTGCCTCACGCGATGACCTAGAAGCGTACACGGCGCCGCGAAGCCACAAGACACTACTAACCAGTGCGTACACCAAGGTCCCAATGATACAAAAGGCAAGATACGCTGCCACGAAGCCCTTTCCGTAGAGGTCTAAATGAAGACGGAAGTACGCGCCATAGTTTGCCCACGAGAAACACAGTGCCACTACGTAGAGTACAATGAGCAGCAGAGGGAGAAGGCTAGTGCCAGGGGGCAGCACGGACTTCAAAAAGCCCATGCCGCGGGTCATCGCTTCTTCAATCCCTACACCGCTATCAGAAGTAGCCAAAAAATACAGACGTATGAGCAGGTATAAGAACAATAACAATAAAGATTACGGGAACTGGAACTGTGAAGGACAGACTGTGTATGCACGCATTGGTGAGCGCCCCAAGAACGGCGTCGCGGAATCGCACGCAGGAGAAATATCTTGCACCGCCACAGCAGTCACAGCTCTACCTGTATACACTGTCTTTCATCTAACAAATGTAGAGCAAACGTGGCACAAAAACGCATAAAACGAGAAAGGAACAAAGGGCCAAAACAACGACAACTCCTCAACGACTATGCATATGAGTTGGGCCGCAGGCACACAGCAAAGCAACAAGCAAGCCCTCTTAGAATGCGGCATCAGCGTGCATGAAAGATAATATCTTAACATGTATGCAGCACCCTAATGGTGTTCCGAGAGCCCGCCATTTCGGAACCAGCTGAGCAAAAGCCCCAAACGTGAATTAGGACCGGGGCCTTCGCGCGCTTCCTTTTTTGTAGCCGTCTCAAGTTTCTTCCTCTAGTTGGCCCTTCCTCACTGGGTTGTCGTGCCCGTCAGGGGAGGGGAATCACTTTTGCTCAGCCACAAAGGCATACGCCGCAGCCCTTGGGACACGCAGTCCCGTGTTTCATTGCTAACTCGCGTTCAAAGCAGTGATCTTGGTTTCTGTGGCAATGAGGCCTTTCGGTGGGTAATATTCTTCTCGCTGGCCGCCTCGATGCCCTGCCGCCGCGCCCGCGCATTGGAAGCCATTTGGACGCGTTCTTCTCTTTGCCGCTGCTGCTCTTGTTGCGCTCGCTTCAGCTTCTTGCACCGCTGCCGCATCTCCTCCTGCTGCTTCTGCTCAATCGCCTGCAATCGCCTGATCCGCAAGTATGCTTCCGACTTCACACCCGCGTTTCCCCAGTTTACTATCGCCCGCGTCTCTCTCTCCTCCCACTGCGACAAGATGTGCCGGACACGGTCCTCTACGGCGGTGCCCTTTCCGCCCCCGTCGCTGTCCCCGCCCCCGCTCCCACTACTGGCCACCGAGTTCGAGCCGAGCTCCCACCCCTCGCGCCGGAGAGCGACGCACACGTCATTCGCCTCTCGTGCGTGCGCGGGCCTCCGTGGCGGCGGAGTCGCCGGGCCCCATTCGACACCGCCGCCCCCTACTTTCGTCGGCATTGCAGCTGTAAAGGGCACAGGAGGAAAAAAAAAAGACACACACACGAAAAAGCGAAAACAAACAAAAATACAAAGAAACCGCACGGCAGCAGCAATAAGAATAAGACAGAGGAGAAGGGAAAGCAGCTAAGCACGCCGTGAAGGCCGCCAAAAACAAGAGAGCTTCTACTTAGGAGCAAAGAAGCGCCTTCTAACAACTGCAGAGCACAAACTCACACCTCGGGCCGCTTATCTACAAAGGGACATGCTGACGAAAGCGAAGTGAGATGACCTCGTAAAGTGCTTCTTTGTAATCCGCCACGGGAAAGTTCTTGTCATCTGGTAGAGGCAGTGAAATGACTTCAGCCTTGTCGAGCTCCTCGATGTCCTTGTGGGTGAAGAAGGGGGCGAAGTACGGATGCCTAAGAGCCTCCCGCGCTGTTAGCCGCTTCTTAGGGTTAAAAACAACGAGTTTGCAGATGAGGTCGACTGCGTCGGGGTCATGCCCCCGCAGACTTTCCCGCAATGGATGACTCTCGATGGAAGTTGAGGAGTCCATGAGGGGCCACGCCTCACTTGACTCCAAACTATCCAGGTCGGCGGCTGTGGGCTCCCCTAGGGCGCTGAGGATGAGGGACAATTGATGTGGCGTGGAGTGCCCCTGGAAAAGCGTTGATGCCGTCAGCAGCTCGTATATGATGCAGCCAACCGCCCAAATGTCCATGGCTGTCGTGTAATTTGTGGACTTGGCAAGAACCTCGGGTGCTCTGTACCAGCGGGTGGCGACGTAATACGTCAAATCCCGGAAGACGTCTTCGCCTTGCGCCTGAGCGCACCGCGCCAGCCCAAAGTCGCCAAGCTTAATGCCACAGTCAGAGTTGACAAATATGTTGGCCGGTTTTAAGTCGCGGTGAAGTACGCCATGGCTGTGCAGATAGGCGACAATTTTGACAACTTGGTAGGCCAAGTACTGCTGGTGAACCGGTAACAAGATATTGTGGAGCAGAATTGTTGAGAGGTCCGTCTCGGCGAGCTCAAAGGTCAAATAGAGGTCGTTGTCGTTCACGGACCTTATCACGTTCGTTAGGCGCACAATGCTCCCGTGGTGAAGGGCACCGAGCAGCATCACCTCACGGTATGTCCGCTGTGCATCCGGCTGGTTCTCAAATGCGCCAAACACCTTCTTCAACGCCACGGGCCTCCGTGTCTGACGGTCCAAGGCGCACCACACGATGCCGTACGCTCCGCTGCCAATCTGGCGGATAATTTTGTACCGCTGCTCGATGTGCCCGTCGACGTTAAACGCCTTCATTTGGCCGGCGCACTCGGCAAATAGAGGAAAACAAGGAGCTGCAGGTACACACGGGGGATGATGAGGGCGGAATCGCCGGGCAAACGCTGCTAGCGTCGTGGGGCCCAGTGGCAGCTAAGCAAGGGGAATACCAGCGGCAGAACAACGGGGGAGGGTAGAAAAAAAAAGAAAAAAAAAAGGAGAATCTGACACGACGCATTGAAGTGATAAGAAAAAATGGAGGGGGAAAGAGAAAAGCAAAAAAAGAAAGACCAGGTGGGCGAGGGGACTGTGAAACCACCGCGCCCCATAAAGAGGCCCACCGTCAACACGAACCGAGGCGCATTTACCGCCGAGAGCGTCCAGCTCCCCCAAAGGCTTGAAACCGCCGCTCCCGCGCCTCCCGCGCCTCCCGTGCCTTTTCCTCGGGCGTTTTCTCTCCGCACGGCCGTTCCCCTGCAGATGCGGCGGGAGCGACGAGCTTGTCATTCACGCGACGCCCACTACCCATGAAGGGGACGAAGCCCGGTTTGGCCTGCTCATTCCCCTCTTGCTTCTCTGCCTCGCTGCCTGTTGTCTCCTTTTCCTTCACAATTTTTGGGGGCTCGAGCACGAAGGGAGCAAAGTCCACACCCTCAGCCGAACCAATCACGTTGCTGCCCTCTGGCACCGGCAACTCTCTCTCTGGCGGTGTCAAAGGCATATCCAGCGGCCGTTCAAACTCAACTTTTATTTCAGTTGCCTGCGCATCGGCGCGGACAGTCGAAATAGCCTCGACGCTGCAGTCCGCCTCGTCTCTAATATCGGTCACGTCGATTATAAATTCGCGATCAAGGTAGCGCAGCACAATGGAGGTGCCTCTCGTGAGGGCGGGGTATTGACTAAGATGCATCTCCAGCACTTGCCTGGGGTCGCTGAGCTGAATAAAGCTTGACTGCTGCGGGCGGAGCTTGACAAGTTTTCCCGACGGCAGCACACACGTCTCGAGCGTGACGGTGTCGCCGGGCTGAAGCAACAGCGCAGAGAACATCCACAGCGGCATGATGACTACGCCATTGTCGGCGTTAAACTCCAACACCCCGGCGTAGCAGACGCCACTTCGAGAGCGAATGCGAAACTGGAGCGGGTAGGCGACATTCATGGTGGAGATCTCCGCCAGACACGAGGAAGGGAGGAGAACGCGGCCGCCACCATCCACCGTTTCACCCCGCTCGCTGAACTCGCCGGGATACGCGGCAAGCTGCTTCCGAAACACATCAAGACCGTCAATGAGAGGATACATCTCTTCGCAAACACTTTCTGTATTCCACACACACGCACCGATGCAGGCAAACGTGTACATAGAAGGTTCGTAACCAAGCAGAGATGGGGAAAAAAAGAGGGAAATACAATAGCAAGAGAAAAAAAAAACACTGGTCGCAGCGAAGCATACAGCTTCGACAAGAAATGGGAGGCGTGCTTGTTGTCGTCAGTGCGCTAAAATAAAATATACACTATGGGAATAAAAAGCGGGAGGAGGGGGGGGTAAGGCAATGGCTTTGGACAGATGAAGAGGAGGGGCACTCTAGCTTGGGGAGAGGAGATACGCGGGGGCATTGAGCGAGAGTGTGTCGAGCGCCGCCTCCACGTACTGCAGCAGCTCCTCCGGCACCTTGTTCTCGCCAGTGTACAGACATTTCAACACATACCAAATATCGTCTTTTGGGCAATGCACAGCATCAATACGAAACATCGCGTTTTTTCCGGTTTCACCCACAAATGCCAGTTTGCTTTTCCCTGACGCAGTTTCTCCCCGCCGCGTGAAAATTGGCTTTCCCATCCCCTTAAACCCAGACCGCTCAAGCTCACTTAGCTCCCGCTCACCAAGGACGCCGACCTCAAACTCAAACACCCCTGCATCCTTGGTCCGCACAAAGATGCTGATAAAGGGGTCGGCTGTGTGAGCGCAAACGTTGGTGGTGAAGCGTTGGATGGGAGGCAGCTGCATTTCCAGAGCGTCGGAGACGTATAAACTGGGCGGAAGGTGTTTGCCGGCGACCTCCGCCGACGAAGCGTCCACCGCAGCTAGGAGCTTCTTGACTTCACTCGTGACCGTAGCACCGACCTTCGCGGGTGCGTGCCAGCGCGAAGTGAGATAGAGCTTACCAGGGATGAGCGTGGTCACGTCGTCGCCATCGCGACTAGCATCGGTGTCACGGTTGAAATTGTTCTCCCTCACATTTTTCTTATGCGGAGCCCACGTGAGCACCTCGCCCGACCACGCATTTGCGTGTCTATAGCGAAGTAGAAGAACATCTCTGACGTTGCTGCTCGTCACAATGAACTGCGGCGAGAGCGAGACGCGGTAGACCCCCTCCCCGACACCTGAACGCAGCGCATGGCAGACCTTCCCTGAGGCCACGCGGGGTACTTTCTCCATGCGTGCGCTCTGTACGGTAAGAAAAAATTCGGTGAGGCGGGGCACGTAGTCGTCCAAGTGGGACTGAAGTTGAATAATGTACGCGACGTGATCTCGTACAAGAAAGAAGGTTGTGGCCACCACAGGGGCAGGCCCAAGGTAGGTACAGGTGTACCGCTCCATGATCGTCGTCACAATCTTGCTTGCAGAGGTGTCGTAGTGGAGTTTAAAGTACGTCTGCTGCTGCGCCGCCTCCTCCTCCACCCGCGCGATACATTTCGTCTTGTAGGCTTCTGTGGTCATGTTGCCCTCCACGTTAGCCAGGTCCTCGGCAACAAGGGTGACGCAACACCCATCCACGTGGACGTAGCGTTTTAATTCAATGGGAAATCGGTACGTGGCGGTCTCTTGGGTGAAAGAGCCTGCCACATTCATGATGAGATGACCTACCGACGCCTTGGAGTCAAAGCCAAGGCTAATGCGCGCTTTCTCCGGAGAAATGCTGCCACTGACCTCCTCCGGGCCGCTTTTTTGGGCTTTGAAAATGGAGCGGGACGGGAATGCACTTTCTGTTCGCGGCTTCGGTGATGTTTCGCCTCCCCTCCCCGCAGACGAGGCTGGGGAGGGTGATTGCCCATCGACGTCCTTGTGCGTCCTCGCCGCGGACCGCGAACGAAGTTCCGCGAGGTGGGCGGCCTGCCTATGACGCCTGTAACGCACCGACATGTAGGAGAGGATGCAGCAGCCCAGCACAACCCCCAGAGCGGCGCCAATGGTGTGCTTGTGAACGTTGTCCTCCCATGTCCATTTAGGCATGAGCGACCTAAGAGACCTCGCCAACCAGGAAAGCGAGGACAGACACATCCTGCGGAAGACTGACACGCATTCAATGTGTACTTGCCAAGCTGGGAAGAGAAGAGCGGAAGAAGATTAACTTCGGTTTCCCACCTCCAACTACGCACGACAAAGACACACGTGCACGCAAAAATCACATGGAATGTGTACTTGACAAGCGGCTTTATTCACCCATACCTGCAGCTGTTTCACTTTTCTTTCGCCTGTCTGTCTGTTTGTGTGTGTGTGTGTGTGTGTAGGTATGCGTTGGCAGTCCTCGTCAGTTCACGATTACTCGCTCAGTCTATCAATTAAATAAGAGATACTCGCGGAACTCGTCATGACGACTGACAATGAGGTCGGTTGCACGCGCAAGCTCCTCACACGCAAAGGCAATTCGCGCGTCCCTCACCTCCAGCGCAGCTGTGTTGTCGTGGCGACAGAAAAGGACCGTCTCTGTCGTCTGGTCTAGGGTTGCATCCAGCCGCCGCTCCGACACCATTCGCGCCACAAGCCGTTCTGCCTCGCAGCCGGTGGTGCCAAGAAGGGCCCCGAGTTCTGCAAAACCAATATTGTAGTAGACCCGAGAAATGGCCTGCAGGTTGTGCTGAATAAAGGCGCGCTCGACGGCGGCGGTGTCGCTGGGGGCCTCCACGTACGGAAGGAACCGCCGAAGGTCGTCGGGACGCAGCAGCTGAGCGTGGTGGGCGCGGTGGAGGAGGCCGTGCAGCCCCCCGAGGAGCGCCGCATTCTCATCCTTGTAAAAGATGCCTAGCAGGCGCGAGCGGGTCGCACTTGCGTCGGCCTGAATGGCGCACACGACGGCCGCACGAAGGTGCGCCAGGGTTTTGGTTCGCACGTACAACTCATGAAAGCGCTGGGACGCCTCCGCAAACCGGTGCCGCCCCGCCAGTAGTGCGGCAAAGGCCTGCAAGAAACTGTTCACCACGTCATTCGCTTCCTGTCGCGCTGCCAAGGCCTTGTATGAGGCCAGCCCGCGCAGACAGTCCGTCTCCGCCGCGGCAAAGCTACGGGTACGCAGGGCACTATTTAAAATATTTGTCAGGAGCCTGAGCGACTCCATGTCGTCATCCGCAGGGAGCATGAGGCGCCAGAGTTCCTGCGCCTGCTCTTCATCGCCCGCCTGCACGCACCAATTCGCCACGGCGCCACGAATATCAAAAAGCACAGTACTCCACACCGCACTACGGTGCGTAGCAGCCGCCAGCAATGCGTTTCCCGCCTGGATGGCAAATGTGAGGTTGACGCGTGCCGCCTCATGCAGCTGCCGCAGCGCACATGCAATCACCGCTCGTGAGGCCTCGCTTGGGGCCAGTTCCATCAGTAGCCAGTTGACGAAGGCGTCCCAGGCCGGCATGTTTTGAGAGGCGACAAGAGACGCCACTTGTGCCTCGCTATAGCCGCCGTGTTCCTCAGGCATTGTACTACACTAACTTGACACCAACGTGAATGGGACCCACACGCTCACACGTGCGGCAAAAGAGCCACACATGCAACAACCATAAAAAAAGAGGAGGAAAACTGAAGGTCATTCAGATAAGTCAACCCCTATGGCTGCCATCCCTGCTTTAGTTCAAGGAAAAATTAGAAAACAACAACAACAACAACAACACCAAGATGCTTCTCACCAACGCGTACCAACACGCCAAACAGCGCGGTAGGCGCATATGTGTCTCTAATAGTAACAACTAATAGTATTAATAGTGACTGAGTTAATCGTGTTAGCGGGCAGAGGATGTGTGCGGCTGCGTCGTAGTTATTCCCTCCTTGCCTTCTTGACGGGACGATTCAAGAAATACTCCACGGCACCGTCCGCTTTCGCGTCCTTCTGCGACGCCTGACGCTTTGCTCGTCTTGCCGTGGCAACGGTGGCTGCAAGATCCACAAGTTCAGATTTCGTTCGCTTGTCTTTTTGCGCCACGTCCAAGTGGAAGCGCGGGTCGGTGAGCAGTTTGCCCTGAAAGCGTGGGTCAATCGCGTCCGTGGCGGCCACAGAGCGCTGCGCCTCACGCACCTCCCGGCTGACGCCAAGCGAGTTGGACGCCCGCATCTTTTTCTTTGCCTCCCGCTCGGCCGCCACGCGTTGCTTCACCAACTTGGCATGCGTCTTCCGCTTCTCCCGGCCGCTCACGTGCGTGGCACCGGCGTCGTCGGTGCCGAGCGTCTCACGCAGCATTTGCCGCTTCTTCTCGAGCTCTTCTTGCCGCCGCGCCGCCTCCGCCTCGCGTTCCTGCGCCAGCAGCTCCTTCTTTGCCTTCCGCACCTCCTTTCGCCGCAGCTTGTACTTGAGCTCGGCCTGGCTGCCCAGATCAACGGACTTCATCAACTGCTTGAGCCGCGTCTCGCGCTGCAGGCGCGCCGCCTTTGTCCCCGCGTCGAGGTCCAGGGTCGCCTCCAAGTCGCCCATGACCTCCGACCCATCGGGGGCGTCTTCTCCCTCCCCCTCCCCCTCGGCGTCGCTCAAGTCGACGTCGCTGAAGCGGTTGAGCGCGTCGTCGTCGTCGCTGCCGTCGTCGCTGTTGCCAAGCTCCTCCTCCTCCTCCTCGTCCGCGCCGCGCTGCTCCTCCTCTGGCAGGCCGCCGATCTCCTCCAGCAATCCGGCGTACCTTTTCCGAATGCGGAGCCTCTCCCGGGCGCTGCTCTTCTTCTTCGCGCCGCCCACGTCGCCGACGTCGTCCTCGTCGGAGGAGTCGGGCGGAGCAATGTACGCCGCGATGTCATCCTCCGCCGTGTCGCCGGTGAAGCTGTCGCGGATGGAGCGGTAACGGAATAGGTCGTCTTGGTCCCACGAGATGCGAAAGCGGGTCTGCGAGAGCGCCGCTGCCTTGAACGCGGCAAGGGGTCGGTAGTTCGCAGGAATACAGTCTGCCCTGTTGACGGGCTCCTCAAACACCTCCGCGTCGTCAACGTAGCGCAGGTCGAGCACGACGCCGCTTGCCTCAACGTCCATGCCGTCCAGCTGCTTGTAGACTGTCTCCGCCGTCTCCGCCGAGTCAAACGTCGCCACGGCGTAGAAGTACTTCATGCGATCGCGCTCGTACTTGCGGTACTTCCCTTGCGAGAACAGCTCTCCGTCCTCCCCCTCCTCGTGCAACATCGCGACGTTGTCCTCCTCCCACGGATCCTCCTCGTCATGGTCGTCGTGATTGCCTTCGACGTTCACCAGCTCCTCTCCCACTTCACTGTCGTTGTTGTTGTTGCGGCGGCGGTGGTTGCCGTTGCGCTGCCCAGTCGTGCCCGCTTCCTCCGTCTCCCCCTTCTTAACCCACAAATCCGGGCCGTGCATGCGTTCATGCTCGAGCATGCGCTTGCCAAAGTCGCTCATGTACACGGCGACCTCGATGAGCTGTCCACCAAGTGGAAGTGCGTGGAAGAGGATGGCGTAGAGGTCGACGGCTCGAATATGGTCCCAGCTGCAGTTCACAATCGCCAAACGACGACGTGGCTCGGTGAATTCCACGTCTGACGCCGACCAGGCCTCCACCTCGTCGTCCAGCTCCTTCTCGTCCCCCTCCGACAAGGTCACGTCGCCGTCGTCCGCCTCGGAGTCCTGCACGCGCGCATCCCACTCCTGCGCGTCCTCGCTCCCCTCCTCCGCGTCCGCCTCCTCGTCGGACTCTGCCGGGAGTTCCCCCACGTGCCCAACGAGGTGCTTCGCGAAACGGGGATCTCTCAGCGCGGCGTCGCGTGGACTGCTGCCGCGCCCTCCACCGCGTCCGCGTCCGCGTCCGCGGCGGGCGAGTTGAAAGCGGGCATCGGTGTACCGCGAGGCGAAGCGGGCGTCTCCGCGCCCACCGCGCCCACCATGACCCCCGCGGCCCCGGGAGGAGCTCTGTAGCGTCTTCATTCCCTACTGAGCCGGCCCCGGACCACAGAGACGCACGCACAACGGGGAAGAAGAAGAAAAATATGATACCCGAGGCATGCATGGAGGCAGGCAAAAACCACACACGAGCAAGAACAAAGCAACACCAGCACCGCGAGCAGAAGTGGATCGCAAACGACACTCACACACACACACGCACACACAGGCAGGGAGCTTCTGCTTACAATGCACACAGACAGAGGCCACAAAACCCCCGCAACAGCGCGTCTTCACAGCTTTCAAAAGAGGGTGGCACTATGGCTTTAGCTTCCGCGAAAACCCCGGGATGAGTGCGACAACGTCAAGAAAAAGCACCAGCACCACTATTCCAAGCGGTATCGTCCAGATGTGATAAACGGGCCACACTGCGATATTCCAGAGAACGCCTCCCGCCGCCGCTGCACCTGTTGCACTGTAGAGCAGGAATTTGTGTGTTTCGCTCCAATTGGGGTGGCGGGGCTGAACAAAAAAGGCGGTGTAGATCCATAAAGCAAAGAATACCGCGTAGCACAGGTAGCAGATCCGCATGACGGGGTTAATGATGTTGCGGGAACGCAGCATCACCTCAACCAGGCGAGAGACCTTCACCACACAAGACAAAACCAGAATGGTAAGCAGTTTAGTGACGCAATAACTCCAGTTTCTTGGTGATTGTGGGGCTCTGTGCGGGTTCCGCATGGCCGCCATTGCCCCCCTTTCTGTAGACTTCCTGCAGAAAGAAAAACAAAAAAAATTGCTAAAGAAGAACAAAAAGGACCTTGGACACGAGGGTAATCATCGTCAGCATCCACCACAGCAATACGAGTAAAAGAAAACAACAACATCAAAGGAGCACACACCCGTTTAGGTAGATGAAATGAAATAATGGACAAAAAAAGAGGTGACAAGAAAGATCTTGCAGAGGAAAATGTCTCGGAAAGCATGCCTCTTGCTATCTCCCTTCTTCCCTCTCTTTGGCTGCCTGTGCGTGTGCTCACGCACGCGATTGGTACAAGAACAACGACAGCAAGAGCAGCGATGCTGTCTACGTGCATAGCCTTTCTCCATCTGTCGGATGTATTATACATCGTCAGCTCCCTTCGGCGTCACAAACGGGGTGGTGTCAACCCCCATGTTTTGCAAACGCCGCAAGGCGGTAATTTCAATTTCGTTCACCTCCTCTGGCTTCAGCACCTTTTTCCTCTCGGGCATCAGCGGCAACGTGTCCACGGAAGCCACAGGCGTGATCATTATACGACCAACAACAGAACTTCCGTTAATTGTGGGGGAAGACGATTCGATTCGAGATCCTGTTCGGTGGCCTCCCTTTTCGATCTCGCCTCGCAGCACCTTGTCCTCCAAGCCGGCTAGCCTTGCTTCCATCTCGGCGTTCGTATGCAGGACGGAGATCCAATTTTGCTCCATGTTCTTAGCGAACCGGTGCATATCCCTGACAGACCACACCGTGTCCCGCGGCACCGCACGCCTCGTCATGGCGTACTTCAAGGCCTTTATCACATCACGAGGGTCACCCTCCTCTCTCTTCTCATTCTTGCAGCGATAGATGAGCGTTGCTGGAGAGGGAAAATCGTCGTAAACCTTCTCCATGCTCCGCATGTCAAGCTTCCCCTGATACGCCGAGGTACTAGTCAGTAGGAATGGATCGTAAATACGGTTGGCCCACTCCCCACCCATCGTTTCATAGTACGATGACAGTATGACAGACAGTGTGGCAGCTGTTTGGACCGCCATTTCTTCATTACGAAGTCCAAAGGGGCACGGGAACAGTGGGTTGCCTATCAGATGTACCACACCGAGCACAGTTCGCTGAACCTCGCCGTATCGCGTGAAAACAGGGACAACAAGTTGTGCGGTGTTTGGCATTTCCATCAACTCCAATATGGGAGCATTTTCCGCGACATCGTCCTCAGCTACCCCTGGTTTTGGTTTGAGGTTCAGTGCGACGCCTGCCTCACTCACAAGGCACGGAATGGAGCTCTCGGAAACGCGGTACGGTGCCGTGTTCCAAAGCTTTGACATATCGCGTCCCACCACAAACGGAGCCACAAGCTCCGTCGACACAACACCAGGCGGTGGGATCCACAACAGTGCCACAGAGGCCCGGGCTCGAATGGCCAGGCTTTCTAACACGGAGTAGACGCTGGCAGAGACCAACTCCAGCGCAGAGTTCATTTTGCGCAACTTGTACGCTGGCACCGTGCCGTTGAAGGCGGCTCGGGGATTAAGCTTGGAGTAGTTGGACCGAGACAGATTGTGTCCCGTGGTTTGCGTGTTCGAAAGGGGATTACTGCCCTGCAGGGTGGCCATGCGGGGTTGCGCGTGCAACTCCAGTTCCTGCCGATCCCGCTGCCGCGCAGCCTCCAGGTTTGCCTGCCGCTCCTTCAGCGCACCAATCTCTTGGTGCACGGCAGAGTGCAGCTCCCGAAGCGCCGTCTGCAACTGCACGATCCGGTGGTTTTCCTCCGGTGTTGTGGTGTCCAGCTCCTTCACGACCTTATGCACCTCCTCGAAGCGGTGCGAGATGATGTCGCTGAAGACACATGGGGCCAGCGAGGAGGCAGGGAAAGCATGCCGGCAGGCGTAACAGAGCTGCATCCTATACTTGCAACAAGCAAATCAAGCAACCGAAAAACACAAAAAAAAAGGGAGAAACAAAATAAACCAAGAAGAAACAAAAGGGAGTAAACTACACAGAGGAGCGGCGGAGGTGCAACAAATATGCCTGTGAGACACGTGTAGACAGGCAGCATGTAGACGTCCACCGTCCTGGCCGTCGACGCAGAACTGCCGTGACTCAGTCCAAGTTTAACGTACAAGGAGGGTAAAAGAGCGCGCGCTGTCCAAACTCAAAAATATAGGTCTTCCGAGGGTTGATCAGGGGAAAGAAAATCATCCAGCAGCGTGTCCTCCAGCGGATCACCATTGTCGGTATTTCTTACACTGCTTGCCTCCGCACTTTTTAAGGCCGGCAAGCTACTTTTGTCGTCGTCGTGCTTGCTAGCACAGGCTGTTTTCACATCCCCTGTTGGACTTGCCTTTTCCGGCGTCGGATTTTTAGCGGCCACAAAGTCAAACTCAAACTCACTGTTCCCGGCGTCAGAAACGGGGGCTTCGCCTTCGTTGCATGTTGGCCGGAACTGCAGTGCCCCCGTCTCGATGAGGCGCAGCGCCTCCTCCTCCTCCTGCTCCAGCTGACGCGCCGGAACCTGCTGCAGCTCCTCCCGCTTTTTCAGACGCGCCCTAAACGTCCCCAAGTCTATCTCCTCACGCGAGGACAGCGCCGCCCGGACGTCGTCACGCCGCTTGCGCAGCTCACGATGATACAGGCGCTTGACGTCCTCACGCGACCGGCCCTGATACATAACTGCGATGGCGTTGAAGTCCGTGCCGTACTGCGAGAGAAATTTGTAGAAATCCCGCAGTTCCTCCTCGCTCCAGTCAAAACGGGCCCGCTTATGCCCAGCAAAACTATGCCTCAGCGAAGAGGTCGGCTCGCCCCCCTCCGCGGCATCGCCTGGCTGCGAAGCCAGGGCGTCGTGCGCGGGTTCAGCAGAGGCGCGCGCACTCTTCCGGAGCGTCCCCGCGCGCCGAAGCCGCCGGCCGCCCCGCATCATCTGGCGGATGGGCCGCTGCTGCTCTGCGGGCACTACGGTGGGCGGCAGCTCCTCAATCGGCATGTTTGAGAGCACTCTAAGGGGAACGCTGTTAAGGGACTCCAACGTGGAGCCAAACGCCTCCACAGAAGGATCCGGTGGAAAGTCAAAGTCACCGCGGTCCATTGCTTCCCTGCTGCGGACGCACAGCGTCGAAGAAACCGCAAGAGCAACAGCAAATAGTAAAACAAGGCACACAGAACGCATCCATTTTCAGCCTACATACAAACACGCGTAACATACATTTTAGTACCAGCAGCACACACGTGTGAAGGAAGAAAAGACGCATATTTCAACACGACGACCACGTACTAGTGAAGCAACAATGATAAAAAAAAGCACACACACACACACACACAACGTCGACACACCAAGTTCAAGCTTTGGGTAACATAAAATAAAAAAAAATAAAAGAACAGTAGCAGGAATGCGATGCCTCGTTCCAATTACTTCTTTTCTTCGCTAGATACGCCTTTGTTGGTGGTTCAGCGATGTTAGTGGGACAAAACTAACTGTTCCATGGGTTTTTGTTGTGATGGCCCCACTGTCGTCCTTTGTGTAAAGACGCAGTAGCTGCACCTCATTTTCCCTTCCAACAGGAATCACAAGGCACCCGCCCGGTTTCAGAGCCTCCAAGTAACCGTTTGGAACTGATGCGGCAGCCGCACCGACGTGAATCACATCAAACATGGCTGCGGAGTGCGGAAAAAGCTTTGATATGTCCCTACCATCGCCCTGGATAAACTTAATACGGCCCTCACTCACCCAGCTCGGAAAACGTTGCTGGAGCACATTTGATGAGCGTTGCTGCAACTCCTGCACGTGCTCCACGCCAATCACCCGCGACCCCTCACCGCAGATGTCGGCGAGGACAGCCGTGAGATAACCGCTGCCACTGCCGATATCCAGGACTGTCTTGGGTGCACCCCCAGCCGCCGGTAACAAGAAGGGGACGAGGAGCTCAAGCATAATGGCATGCATGTGGGGGGCACTGATGGTGGCACCATGCCCAATAGGCAGCGGCTCGTCCCTGTACGCCGAGGCCCGCAAATTGTCCGGCACAAACCATCCGCGATCTACGCGGCAAAGGGAGCTGATGACCGCCGGCGTAGACAGAAGCGCCGCCTTTTCCAGATTCTGGACCAGTGAAACATTGGACAACGCCGAGCACGTCCACGCCATTATTAAAACCTATTCCTTCAGGACCTTTGCCCAGACAATGTGGCAAATTTAACAGCGGTAGAAGGACAAAAAAAAGAAAAAAGGGGGAAATACAAACCACAAGGCAGGATGGTGGCTTGCGGAGTGGGAAGCAAGGGCTAATAATAAGAAGAAAAAAACACTAAGGGACAGAAAGAAGAGAAAGGTGCAAGCGCTTCCGTGCCCACACAGGAGGTAACCAAAACACGTATGCGGTGGACTCGGGAAACAACTTTCTCCAACACCCCCCAGTTCCGTCACGATGCATTCCTTTTGCCTTTTGGCAGAAGTTTGCGGTGCTGCTGCCCCAGCAGTGGAGGGGCCCCCTTCTGCTCGCCGGTAAAACGCAGTCGTTTGTCCGAAGGAGCACCCGCGTGGAAAGACGCGCGGACGATGTCTCTCTCGCACACTGGGCGGGGAACATCGCAGAGCAACGTCCCAACCCACGCTCCAATTTTCATACGCGACTTTTGTTTTGTTTTGTTTTGTTTTTGTTTTTAACTCCACAGTGTCGTTGAGAGGGACACTTTGCCCACAGCGAAGGGAGATCCCGTTATCATTGTGCACCCAACCATGGCAGCAAAATGGGTGGTCGGCCACCTCCTTCTCTTTTTTTTGTTACGCCTTTTTCATGTTTTTTTTTACTGCTCGTTTCTATTTTTTCATTCCTTCACTTGAGGCGCTATAGGGAAGTATTCCCCTTCGTGTTGCTATGCTAAGTAGCAGTGATGACTCCACAGACAAAAAACGGAGGGGATATCATTCACACACAGTCTGGCGGGGCCCCATTCCCTCCGCCCCCATCCACGTTCAAGGAGGAGTAGAGGGGGGCGAGGGGAAAGGAGGGGCGAGGGAGTTGAGTCTGTGGCCGTTGTTTCTCCACATCCATCTGCTCTCACTTCGCCAATAGTAGTGTACAAAGGGGGAAAATGGCATTAGCAAGCCCTCTTGCCTCAAGGCATTCTCTCTCTCTCTCGCTCTCTGTATGTATGCGTGTGCGTTTTTGTGCATGCGCGCGTCGAGTCTCGGCACTACATGGACATGGGCCGCAGTTGCGTGTGCCAGCCGGAGGGAGCGGCGCCGAGATCCGCGTAGAGGTCAACTTCCTGCAACGAGGGCAGCGGCAGCGGGGCTTGTGCCTCCGCCTTAAACCTGCGGGTGGGAGGCTCCTCCTCCGCCACCGCGCTGCTGCGGAGCGTTTCTCCATGCGACGCACTCGGCGCGCCACTGGCCGTCCCGGTGGGTGCATCGCCGCGCGGCGTTTGTTCCGCCGTCACCGGCGCCCCCTCGCGCTGCCGCCTAAGCTCCTCTTTTTTTCTTGTCATCCGCGCCCGCAGTGCGGCGAGCGAGAGCCCAGTTCCCACAGTCGACACCGCGGACGGGTCCGGCGTGGCCCCTTTTTCGCTCTCCTTCACTTCCGCCGTCTCCGACGCTGCCCGAATGGGCGCGAGCACCGCCTCTCCCGCGCCGCTCTCAGCCAGAAATGCCAGCAGCTGCCGCAGCGCGACTCGATCAACTTCCCCCACGACCACCGGCGGAAAGACCGCCTCCGCCGACTTCTTCGCCAGCTGCTTGAAGTCCTCCCGGTCAATCACGCCCGACTTGACGTGCGTCTCGAGCACCTCCTTGACGCGATTGAGCACGTCTCGTTTGGTTGCGCAGGAGGCGGCAGACATGGTGGCTCTCTTGTCTCTTGTGAAGCCTATCTCTTTTTATCGCGCGGGCGGCGTGGGGATCGAGGGAGCAAAAAGAAAAAAGAAAAAGAAAGAAAAACGCCGCCAACAGCAACCAAAGACGGACACGGTTTCAGGGACAGCCATAAACACTCAAGTGGAATCCTCACGACCGTGGGGCTTGACCCACGCGGTGGACCCAAAAACACATAACCAGCAGAGGGACGACGAGGGAGTGAGAGTGAAAGGCAAAAAAAAAATTAAGCAACAAAAGCCTCAGACTTACACAACAGATACACCACTAATGCACAATGCAGACAACAACTACTGACTTGCGCCGCCACCGACTCCTGCTCTACTCCACGTTCCCTTTCCCCTTCTCAGTTTCCCTTTCCCATTTCTCCACCCCTCCGCTAATATTCCCGCCGCAAGAGTCCCCTTTCCCTCTCCCGAGTTCTCTATAACATTGCAACTGTTGCAATTGATCAATAAAGATCATCGCCTGCACAAGCAACGATCATCACCAATGGTAACATTATCATGAACTAAAAATAAAGATTGCAAACCACTACGCAAACCTCTCTGCTACCTGCCAGGCCTTCACACGATACTCCGCAACTGGGTTCTTGACAAACTGCTTTTCATACAATGCCTCCCGCACCCTCTGTCTGTCACGCTGATCCCGCATCTCGTCAAACGAGTACAGTTGATTCCGTTGAAAATCACGTTGAAAGTAACGTTCCCGCGCCACAAACTTTGTGAAGTTGTTCCATGCAAAGATTGCAGCGTAGCACTTCCAAAACGACCACCGAATGGAAGTTCCAGTGCGATTTAGAAAGCGGGTGTAAAAAAAATTGACGAAGCCAGCCCCGGCTATACTCGTGATGGCAACGGGCATGCAGCGGAGGTTCTGCCCCCAGAAGGTGCGAAGATGCCAATGGGACTCCCCCTCCGGCACCTTGTACACCCGCTCCGCAAGAGCCTCGTCCGGCATCGCCTGTGTGTCAAGGAAAAAGTCGAACTGGCGGAAGTTTGGCTCGAAGTGAGTATCCGCCTGAACGGTGGGGATGGAGCCGTGCCAGTTGAACGACGTGGGGCCGAGGCCCTGCAGCATTGTTGAGTGCCCTTGCGCAGCGCCGGGCATTGTGTTTGTGCGTCGCCCTGCCTATGCAACAATGCTTACGGCTTGGATTCTCTAACTATCTCTCCCCAACTTCCCGAATCCTTTTCCCAACTCCAAGCTTTTACCTTCAAGAAGGACCCTGCGAAGCGAAAAAGAACCACAACACAAATCACCCCGCAGAGGAAAACCAGCCACTGTGGGAGATGCAGCGCACTCTCACCGCCCCGCTCTATCCAGCCCCCTGCTTTTCCCCTTCTCTCTATATATATATATAACTCGTACATAGCAGTCCATGTCAATTCCTTTTTTTTGCAGGTATTCGCTTCTCCCTGCAGCTTTTTTACATCCATCCATCAATTTCATGCATAATCATTTCCTGCACCGCCAATTACAGAGAGACACAGTGAATCTCATATAAAGATATATGCACTAACAGGCTACCTCACTAAAGTGGGAGTGAGACTTCAAAAAACAGAGCAAAACAACAACAACAACAAAAGCTTGCTCCTTTTCTAGGGCGCGGCGCGAGCCTGCAGCAGCAACTTTGGCGGCATGTAGAGCTGATAGTTCACGTCACTGTGGAGGTACTGTGACAATAGTCCACGCAGCTCGGCATTCTGCGCGCGCAGCGAATCGGTGTCTTCAATCAGAGTTTTGCGCTGTTGAAGTTGGGCAATGTACAGTTTGAGGCCCTTTTCAAGTGCCTCCCAGGAGCGCCGGTGCTCCTTTGGCACCGACTCCGCCATGCGCAGCCAGTACTCCTTTTCGGCGACGCGCCGACGCTCCTCCAGCTTCATCCTCGCCAATTCTTTATTCCGCTTGGCCGATTCCTTCTGCCCCTCCTCCTGCTTCTTCCTCTCCCGCTGCCGCTCGGTCAGAAAGGTCGAGAGTGCACGGACGGCCTCCTGCGGGCGTATGAGCGCCGTCGTTTCCTCGGGGCCCTCTACCAAAAAGTACCCCATCAGGTCATCCATCTCCTCGTTCTTGTGAATCTGCAGTGTGGCGAGAATGGATTCCACCACGGCACGCTCCTCCGTGACATCCTGCACTTTTCGGATTGCCGCATACACGGTTTCGTCCGAGATGAAGGGCGCTTGCTTATGCAGAAGGGCGAGGAGCATCAGCGCCTCCTCCGAGAGCTCAATCTCGTCGTCGCTGCTCACAGCCTCTTCCTCGTTATCCTCCACCGCGTCCGCCACATCGTCTTCGGGCCAGTAGTTTAGCTGCGGCGGGTTCCACGGCACCCCTAATATCTCCTCAAAGAGAACACGATCCGCCTGCAGAGATTTGTGTGCGAGCTGAATGTTCTTCTCCTCGTGCATGGACCAGAGCTGGCGATACTTTTCCTTGTCTGACTTTTCAAACTTTTGGAACTTCTTCTGCAGATCACTGTACTGATTGGCCACGCGGTGGAGCTGGGCGGTGAGGTCCTTGTTGGAGCGCTGGTACTTTTTCTCGGACTCCGCGTAGCGCGCGACAAGGTAGCTAAGGGTGTCCTGCAGCCGCGCCAGCTTGCGCTTGTGCAGCGCCTGCGCACTTTTGTTTTCCTTGACCCGCTCCCGCAGCACCTGCAGGTTGTAACTGAGTCGTTCGCCATTAAGAAGAAACTCTGCCTTGCAGCGCTCCAGCTCCTCCATGAGGACGTGAATTTCCTGCAGATGCTCCCGCTTGATTTCATTGTACTCCTCGCAGTTTTCGCGGTGCTTGTCGTCCATTTTCTTCTGCGCCTCCATAATCTCGTCCTCTCGCTTTTTGCGGTACTCCGTCTCCCGCGCACGACGCAGCTTCATGAGCTGCAGGATCTCCTCGCTGCAGCGCGAGAGGTACTCCCCCCGCTCCCTTTCGTACGCCGCCTCCACCTCCCGAAGCTTGTTGGTGTAGGTGTCGAGGTACTTCTCCGTCTGCTCACGCATCTCGGCAACGAGGCTGTTCACGTCCGCCGTGTTGCGTCCGAGTGCCGCGACGAACTCCTCCTCGCGCTCCTCCAACTGCCCGCGCAGGGCCTCAATGAGGCGGTCCTTGACGTCCAACAGCTCCCTGCACTGCCGCTGCTGCTCCTCGAGAGACTCCTTCAGCTCGTGCGGGGCGTTTATTTTGTAGATGGACTCAAACTTCAGTTCTATTGCCCCTTGTGTAACTTCATTCGCCTCCAACTCCTCACGGCGCTTCTGGCGCCTCTCTTCTATGCGACGCTCTTCACGCTCGCGGCGGTCATTCTCGGTCTTGCCAACCGCTACCTCCCAGCTGGTCACGGCGCCGTGCGCACAGCTGAGCACCTCGGCCATGTCGCGACGGGCATTACGCACGGATTCCTCGCCAATCCCCCTCACCCTGCTGGCCCCACCGCTGCCGTCCATGTCATGGCCAGTTCCCACCGCTACGTGCATGTCGCTTTCGTTGTCGCACAGCTCCTTCAACCGCCCCTGCACACGAAGTCGCCGCTCGGCGATGCGCTGCTCCCTTTCCTCATCCAGCGGCAGCACCATCCTTCGCTTGCTATGTGGCCCCGCCTCCCTTTGCTTGTCCCGTGACACACGTGCGTGGCAATGCGCGCTTGGGCGCGTGCACGTGGTTAAAGCCGAAAGAGAGAGATAGAAAAAAAAAATAAAGCAAACATTGTGAAAGGGAAAGAGTGGGGGTCCCATGCGCAAAGACGGAGGGGACGGGGCTAGCCAGCAGCCAAAAAAGTGAGACGGCGCAGGCACGCAAACACCACAACCACAGACGCCATCAAGCAGGAACAACAAGAAAAGAGACACATGACCGAGCACTTCAAACACGTCAGGATTGCTCTCTGAAAGCCCAATCGCGCAGACAATACCCCCATGGCTCTCCTCACACGTTCTGTCGCACGCACTTGCCCATTATCTCTCTCTCGCTCCATATGTATATTTCTATTTCCCCTTTCCCTGATTTAGTCTCATCATTCTGTACGCGAGGAGAGAGATAGAAAAAAAAAAAGAGATTTTCCCTCGCTCACTGGAGCGGGGGAAACACCCCCTCCGACCCACAACTCTATTACTTCCCCCCCCCTCCCTCTCTCTCTCTCTC